CTATATATTAGGCGATATAGTAAGGTTGGGTCACTAGCTAATAATCTTAAGTTGACGTATGATAATGTGCTTAGTTTTGAGTTTAATTCGTCTTTATGAATAATTGCGGCTTTGTAGATGGGTGTGTTTCTATAGCCTTATAGTAGCTTTGACAGGTTTCAATTAATCTTGATCTGTTTTTATAATGAGTGTATAAAACGCCTAAAGAAACACCAGTTGCAAGACCTATAGCTGCATATTTAATCCATAATAATTCTTCATCGCTCTGTTTCTTTAAAACTCGTCGTACTTTAGACATCTTTTTTAATTATGTGTATATATTATAGTCAATATGTATAGAGTACAATTAGTTTTTGAAAACATTCGTAATGCGTATACACTCACTTTAGAACCAGACGTGACTAGTCCCCTGCCGTCGGCACGTGAGATTATGATGTTTTATAGCAAAATGCAAACGGATGACAATTCCGTGACCTTTGACGTTGGCACACAAAGTAAATACGATCCATTGGTTCACTCCAATCTCGTAAACAGGAACCAAGAATATCCTGTATTATCGGAAATCGTAACGTTGAGATATTACACGCGCAAAATGTTGAGAATGGTTATACACCACACGCTCGTCCTGATATCTTATTGTGACAAAAATTTGAAAGCACCTCCGTCTTTTACTAAATACGTAGATGAAGTGTGTAGTGTTAGTATGTATACACACATGTTTTCTACTATGCTTTTTTCATTTGCACAACCGGGGATAGGTTTGGGTGACGTAATTGCCCAAAACATTACTTCGCCTTTGACGCAAGATTATTTAGATTCATCTCATAACAGAGAAAAGGCTTGTAACGATTTAATTCGATCGATGAATACTAACATAAAATTATACGACGTGGGTAACACGCACAACGCTTTTGCAACTATTCGTCAAATTGCATCGTCTCGTCCTAGATTACAAGTGGAATTTTTAGACAGTACCAGGTCGATAGTGTACGCTTTATTCAATGGAAAGAGAGTACGTAACAGTGATTCTACATTAATTTACTTTAAGTTAATAAACGATCCTTCTTTTCTTCCAATTTTAATAACTAAACGGTTAGCTGATTTTGCTCTGTTGTGTGACGATGACACATTAGTTTTTGCTGCACCTCAAGAATATTTTACGAATAACGCTTGTCCATTTTTTACGCAATGGGTTTTAAGCCATCGTGATTGTATCGAACCTTTAGACCACGTACTATCACTATTAGCCCTATGTTCTGATAATAGTAGAATTTATTCGTATTTATATAAAACATTTAAGGGTATTTTGAGCGTTTCTAATAACATCGATAATGTTTTGTGTTCGTACATTAGATTATACATTAACATGTTAACACGAGAGCCATCTAAAATTGTAGCACTTAATCGATCTTACATTGGGAAAAAAAGAGACAGATTATCTGCAGCATGTTTTGAAAATCCGAAAAAACTTTTAATAAAATCTGCTATAGCTGAAGAACGGAAACGTGGATGGACATCGGTAAATTTTGCATTTGGTTTAGATATTACACATGTTGGGGTTTTACAATCTTCAATGCAAGTATATTCTAACGAATCTATGAAAAACGATACAAATATCGCGACACAAGTCAACATGGAGGACGACGACGACGACGACGACGACGAATATAATCCAAGATCACCGATGAGTGTATACGAACCACTGTCACCGTGATGTTGATAATGTGGTGGGGATTAAAAATGTGTAGCAATTTCTTGATAGGGTGATGATATCGCATACTCGATAGATGATAATGGTCCCATAAAACATAACATTGTTTCTTTAAGGTATTTGACGTATTGTGTTTCTTTTTTCATAAATGTAACACAATCACAAGAATGATTTTTACAATTTATAGCATTATGTAAATCTATATAAGCTGCTTGCGCCTGACAGAGTGCAAATTTATTTGGTTTAAAAACCGCGAATGTTTGTGTGTTATACGTCATACAATGGAACTTACATAAACAACCGCCCTTTTGAGAAAAATACTCATATTTACTTTTGAGTTGTCGGATAGACACCCTTATCATAGCTTGCTTTAATAACTCGAGTACCTGAGTGATATTTTCGTAAGGATTAAGTGCACCATTAATTCTTAAACTTGTTAACCGATAAGTGTGATTTGTGCCATTCTTCTTTCCGTACGTTCTATCATCGTTATCTTTAACGATATTGTAATACATTTTGCGAAACGTGGTTGTATCGGTAATAACATCTGTGGAAGTTAGTAAGGTCACGTATGATTTTACGACAATCTGAAACCTGATTTCTAATTCTTTTAGAATTTCTACACATTCTTTAGATGCATGTGCATAATCTAAACATATATCGTTTATATCGAAAACACTGATACTCTTCGTGAGATGTATTAATTCTCCCAAATTGCCTATACGGTCTGCATCCATGATACTTAAACGTGCTTCTTTTAAATGTTTGTAAGCTTGTGGAAGACGATGTTCGTTAAACCATCGCTCGATATTTTTCAAGTGCATGTGTCGTGTGTTCAAATAATTGTAAACGATCTTACATTCCCTATAATACTGGATTTTACTACACATATTGCTATATAAATCGTAAGCATCAATATCTCCACTACTTGTTGTGATTAATAATTCTCTAGGTAAAACTCTCTGTTTCATACGTTTCATATATTTACGTAGAAAATGAACTGTAGTAGACAAATCGCTGCGAATACTACGTGCCATCGAGTATAGAAATAATGTCTTTATATGCAATTCATCTAGTCTATCTCTATTGTTAATTTGCTCTCTATCATCTAAATTATCATCGTATATGTCTAGTAACAACATTGTCCAAGACGTTAATAAATTCTCTAAGAAACCAGATTTATCCGTGCTCGATATACATCTTGCTGGAGTCGTTGTGCACATGTATTGTATTACAGAAATGAAAGCGGCCTGCATATCGTAAAATAATACACTGAATACATGTACCTTGTCTGTGAAGGATAACGTGTAACACGGAGATAACGTTCCATAAAAAGTAGGCAATAGGTTTGTTAGTATATGTTTTAAGGTTATATCTTGAGAATTTATAACTAAATCTGTCATATGGACAAAACCTTGCGTAATCTCCGATTCGGTGCTTGGCAATTTCAATAAATAGCGATTGATTCCAGACAATACATTATAATTCCACCAGGACGAAACGACACTTTTCGTATATTCTAGAAGATTATAAAACGAATCGTTGGCCATTTTTTTTTTGTTCGCACAAAAAATCGAATGCAATGTGCACTGTTTTTTATTCGCAAGTTACGGAAATTTTGACCCAAAAATACGGTATAAAATTTGTCAACGACAAAGCTGTAAACGTGTTATATAAAATTTCAAGATCTATTAAAAACAAGACTATAAACGATTTAGTGAATACAGTCGTATATCTTTCGAACAAGTCATTGGTGAACGAATCCATCATCGATAAAGATTTCAAGGCTTTATTGAAACAGAACGTGTCTGGCGATATCTTCAAACTTGAGCGCATCGTCTCGTCGTCACCACCACCACCACCACCATCATCATCACCACCAGCAGCAACACAAGCATCGTCCTCTTCTTCACAAGCACCGATTCTGAACAACCGAAATAAAAATGAAGTGATGTACAAGAAACGTAAACATACGCACGTTAAATCGAAACGTCACACCCCTCTTCAAACTAAAAGTGTAGATAAAATGACTGCTGCCGAAATTTTAGATATTTATCGTAAAAAATATAATAAAGTTTGAGAGCATTGTTTTTTTTTTTTTAAAAAGCATGTGTTGGTTTTATCGTATGAGACATTCCAGTCGCTACCAAAACGCCTGTTAATGCCCCAATTCCGATTGCGAAATAAACACCCTTTTCTGGACACTGAGTAGTTTGTGTGCGTTCTGTTGTAGGCGTATTAGCTAAACCTTCCATGTGGCACGTTTCATCAGTAGCACATGCATGGGCTACATAAATTAATATTTTATTTGGAATGTTAATTTGTCGTGGAATTATAACCGATGGTGGATTATTTATTAATGCATGCGCTGGCATAATGCCAGTCACAAATGACACCAATGGTTTCCACGCGCTAGAAACTAACGTAGGTACACCACTCTTTTCGTAAGGTAGTCTGGCATCCACATATTTGTTCGTCATATTATGAGTGTATAATGGAAATTGCATATGATCACTCAAGACCAAATCTACTACTCCAGAACCGTTGGCACCTATTCTTTTTAACATACCAATAATGGTGTCACTATTCCCCTGATAATCGGACAAATTGACTTTATTGTCTATATCGGATGCATATTGTAAAGATTTATCCATAGCTTTAAATAATATATGCAATTCGTTTACTTTATTCGAACCGTTTAATATATTGATGTAATGTTTATCATCGGCCGTTTGCGTTTCAATTGTATCGTTACTGTTGTGTAAAAAATACGTAATGACAAAACGTCGTAGTATATATGGGGCCATGTACTCCAGCCATAACTCAACAACTCGCTTTGTGATTAATGCACGAATATTTGGAGTGGGCATTGGGTCGGTAACCATGAAATGGTACATGTATTGAAACAGAGCCGATCGTGTATATTCGTAATGGATAGAATCTCTGTCTCGAGATGAAACGAAAAAACAAAGTGCATGTGGAAAAAGTTGTTCAACTATTGTTGGTAATTTATCGGGGAGAGGTTCCGCAATCTCTTCACCAGCTTTTCCAGACAAAAGCCGTGGTAAGGTTGAAGTCGTTTCTATCCCCCAACGCAAATGTAGATATGTTTTGCACACGTATCTCAGCGCAACAAAGTCTAGGAGAGGGAGTTCGTCTTGTGGTACGTCGTGAAGATGAAGGTGTGTCTCTCCCCGGACGTGTTTATCTATGACGTGTTTAAGTGTGCAGTAGGCGATGTTTACAACCATCCCGTATAAAACGGAGACGGGATACTGCCTGTCCAGTCGTGCCAGCAAACTTGGAAGGTGGTGTATCCCCTCTCGTTCGGCCAACATCATCAGACCAGCCGAGCTGTCGAGAATTCTGGACGAACTGTGTGTGAAGGGATTCAAGGTTTTGGCGAATATCTTGGACGTCGCAAAAAGGTGTGAGTCTAAAATGATTCTACTTACTAGATATATTTCATCGTGGTTGGGAATAACTTGTAACGCGGTGTCGTGAGCTATTCTGTAATCACGAGCCCAATCGTATGGCACATCTCCTAAATGATTTTCCATATCTGTTGTAAACAGCATTCTTAGAAGAACTTGATCGAATGGTACGGAATGAGCCGGTTTCCACGCATCTATTTCAGATTTATTTAGAATTTGAAAGTAAACCATGCCGTCGATATTGTCTAGACGCAAGGTTATTTTCCAAGGTGCAGTTCGTACATTAATGCAGTCATCTTCGGTATTAATCTTTCTTTGACCAGGTATATGCAATATATGCGGGGCTGCGTACAAGAGTCTAAAAAATGGTATGGTGTGTACATCGTGGGGGTCTCCCGATGCATTAAATAAGGGATATAGTTTTCTTTCGTCAGGTATGATTGGTCTATGACTTACTGGATCGTTGATGTAAGTATCATTGGAATACGCCCCCCAGTAATTAACAGTGAACGATCCACGTAAAATTACGTCCATAACATGTTCAGTTGGATTTGGGCTGTCCGTCATGAATGCTTGGGGTAGGTGATAAGCGTGTGAAAACCTTTCGCCCCAAGAATGATTCACCGGCGCCGACGGTGCTGTTGGAGATGCCATTCTAGCTTGTGCCATTGTTTTTTAGTAAGTAAAACTGACGTCCACACTTTTTTTTGGCTTCTTATAGAGTTATCGAAAATGGAGGGAAACAAAACGTGAGTAAAAAAATTTCATTGCGTGTTTGTTTTAGTATTTAAATTAGCCATTCCATTGCGATATATATTTGAAAGGTCTTTCCTGTTTTGAATTAAATACGCCGTTCCAGACGATAACCCCATTACACCTAAACCAGCCGCTACACCAGATATAATTACGCTACCAGACGATGGTCTAATATTTTCATAAAGTACCTTGGATTCCTCTATGCTGTCAAGTAATGCTGTTCGTAACGTTTCTGCATTAACCAATAATGAATCTGATAGTATATCAGCTAATGGAATACCTTCACGTTCACAATAATGTAGTCCCATAAATATAAAATATTTTCGATTTAAAATTGCATCCCCAGTGTTTTCGTATAATTTCCGAGAAAGCTCCCGTAGGAGAACCTTTTTCTGTCCTGCATGTAATGAATTGTAACGGTTTAGCACTTCTCTAAACTGTGTCATTTTTTGTAATGTTTATTACAGACCAGAACGCACGGCTCCACCTTCCACGACTCCCGTGAAGCTGGCTCGGAAAATGCGGCGATCAAAGAGGCGTAAAACGCCAATCCAATCTAGACGGGTGCCCATATTAAAAAAGAACAATAAGACCACGCCACCATCAATGCCGGAATCTCCAGAATCGCCACCCATCGTTCCGGAATCTCCGGAATCGCCACCCATCGTTCCGGAATCTCCGGAATCGCCACCCATCATTCCGGAATCTCCGGAATCGCCACCCATCGTTCCGGAATCTCCGGAATCGCCACCCATCATTCCGGAATTTCCGGAATCGCCACTCATCATTCCGGAATCTCCAGAACCACCAACCATCTTACCCGAATCAGCAGAACAACCAACCGTAGACGCTGTTATAAACGTACCAGAGGATCCGACTACCTCATCGTCGACAATGGAAGATAGCGACGATTATGATGCTGTAGATGATTGAGTTATTAATAAAAAAATGTTGACTTCAGCAGAAATCGTATCCGACATTTCATTACAAGAAGGTACGAAGAATTCCACAAAAGGCATGTGGGAGCGCGTGCGCAAAGTTTTTGGAAAAGGTAAGCGTATTCCTAAAACAAATGGTAAGCGTCTTCGTAAAACGTATCCCAATAGAACTAATCTCGTAGTGCAAACCACGTTAGAAATTATTGGATGCATATTGAAAGTGATATAAACAATAAAAAAAAAAGAACTAATATATATCTATATTACAATTATAACATTGTTTAAAACCTATACACGACGACAATAATGTCTATTTATTCTACGTACACCATGTTACATCATTGTGTCAAGGCATGCGATGGTGACGAATCTTTAAACAACGCCTTGAAGACATGTCACAGTTTCTTAGAAAAGTATGTACGTATTCATTTAGGTACTGCGAGTAGTGTACAAGATGCTTTGCAAAACAACAAGAAATGCGTATCTATTCTGAATTATGGATCGATGAATTATATCCCACCAACCACAGTAGAAGATCGCGCAAAAAATGCTAGACAAGGTAGTGTCGATCACTTGTTATTTATTCTGTCAAAACGTGTTACAAATAGTAATAATACGTTGCTAAAAATAGCCTTAAAGGCTACCAAAAACGCTATTGAATTTTCTAAATGGATGACTGAGGGTGATGAAGAAGCTACCCACTTAAAAAAATGTGCTAATCTATTATCTAAGGTTGTTCAACAAGGCGATGACGAAGTGATCGACAAGTACTTGGAGGCTATCTATTATCTTTAAAATATGCTAGCCAATGTAGTCAATACTAAAACGGTATAAACTGTTACAATCGATCCACTGATCAAGTAATTTTTTTTATCGAGTATGAACTTTTTTAAAGGAGGTTCGACTTCTTCACGATCGATCTTAGCATTATTCGGAATGGGTCTCTTTTTACCATTCTGAAATTTTGTAGTTGTTGCGTCTTCATCTATACCAGTTATCGTATCGTCTTCTTCTTCATCTTTTCCATTTTTATCCCCCACGACATCTTGTACAAGTGACTTGTCTTCTGTAACATTAAATTTTAATAGTTGATCGGAGACTTTAAAGTCTAGTTTTTTCGTGAGTTTTTCTAAATCGTCAGTGTAAGATCTATACACGGTATCTAAAATTGTATATCCCAGTACATTGTCTTTTTCTACACTTTTAATAATTGTATATATAGTTTCTAATACACGAAATTTATTTATAATTAATTTCGTTTTAATTTTTTTCAGGTAGTCGATAAAAGCTACATACGGTTTCGTGTGAACATCGTAGGACACGATTAATTCAACCAAATGCCACACTAATTTATTTGTCACACGCCATGCACGTAAACGCAGTTGATTTATAAAATTAGTAGACAATGACTTGATTTTACTATGCATGTCATTGAGGTCCTTAATTTGTGTTGCAGAGAAAGCATTTATACTATTTAAAGCCATTGTCGCCTGCGTTTCCAAAGCCACTTTAAACTCTTCTTCTTGCGCCGACGTTGTATTATTCTTATATGTGTAAAACGCATTCAAATATATACCTACGGCCGGATAGTACTGAGGGGTTACTGTGTTTCTATGCCAAGTCATGAATTCATAAGACGTAGGTTTCGTTTGCATGAATTCACTAATTAACCAAGCATATTGAAGTATTTTGGGATGTTCAGAGAGTGGTTTACCTTTAATATAATTAAACCAAACGGAAAAACGTGTCCTCTTAAACCTGTCCAATTTGTTAATCATATTATTGTACTGGTCACCGAAATGTTCTTCGAAAATCGATACTTCGGGCATTGTTTATTCTTTTGGTTAGTCTCTAGAACACACATAAAAATAGAATAAATTGTGACATTTCGTTTTTATTATTTTTTTAGGGGGCGAACTTCGAGCATGAATGATTCGAAAGATGGCGCAGAGATGGTTTTATTCATCCCAGTCTTGGTTTTTTATTTCTATTATATATGACTACACCGGTTGCAACGAGCGACCACAATACAAGTGGAGCACCTACAAATGTATACAATTGGTGTGTTGGTGACGGAAGTATTGTAGTCGTTTCTTGAGTGTCTGTACTCGCATCTTCGTCTTCTACTTTATATTCTAACTTGGTAGTATCTTTTAAACGAAAAACAGTGGAGACTGCTTCGTGTATATTTGTATTAATTGCACGGATTCGTTTCATTGGAAGGATTTTTTCGCGATCTGCTAACTTAATATATATAAATAAATTCAATATCGAATCTAATAATATGACATCTAATTGGCATTCTATAGGCCGTAACATACGCATAGTTGAATACACATCGTTTTCGGCAGCATAATACGCCACGATTTCAAGAAATAGACCCAATATCGGTGGATAAACGGAATGATCGTGGATGACGTTACGCAGTTGAAGTATTTCCGATTTCGAAAACGTAGGAATAATCGCGAAGATTTCCTTCATTACGTCTACTCCATATGCGTGTTCGTTATCCAGAAATAAATTAAAAGAACGTAGCGCGGAATGTTGTGCTCTGTGATATAATTCTATATCACTTATTTCCGTTTCGTTTTTTAAGGATTTCAAAGTATTTGCAATATCGTGATTTGGTACTAAGCGTTTGACAATGGCTTCAATATCGTATTCTTTGAAATATGTTAAAATTTCCATAGTTAACCATGTATTGTAATACGCTTTATAGTCATTATTCTGGTAAACGTGTTGTACCCAATAACGGGGTAATACCGCTCGATAATCGTGTAACAAATCTGCATTTAGGTCTATGTTATGATTTAGCTCTATATCGTTGGGATTCTCTGTACTAAAGATTAAATATTTTTCTTTGTAATCGTTGGCAATTTTATACTTCTTGAGGAAAGCTTTGTCTTTTTTAACCTTGTCGTTATATATACGAATAATTTTTGTGACTACGGGATCTATAGGTGGTGGTGTAGATTCCTTTATTATATCTAGCAGATTTACAACGTCACATAACGAGTATGGCTTATCTGATAGAGCATACACTTGATGCGCTTTTGTAAATGACGGATTTTCTAATACTATCGTAAATAACTTGGCTAATTTTAAAGGAAGATTCTTATTAATGATTGGTAAATCTTGCGCTTTTAAATGAGATATTAAAACGATTACGGCATCTAATATCTGTAATTCGTTTTCTACAATTGTGTTAACGGCGACACCATATCGTTTTAATAACCACGTTCTTTCAGTATCGTATTCGTAAAACGACACAATCGTAGTCTTTCTAGACTCGTGAAATGTTTTAATTTCAGATTTAATAAAGTTTGCATGATTTGGCAAATTATACAATATAGATTTTATCTGTGATGTTTCGTCGTAATTTAATAACAATTCCATAGTAAGCCAAGTTTCTTCTTTGATGTTTAAGACGGAACCATTAACCTGCCCCTTATACGCATGCCAATAGAGACGTACGAAACGAGTAGATATGATGGTTTTGATGAAATCGTACGCGTCTTCATCTAATAATAGCGTATCCTTATTTGGAGACGGATATATATTGAATGTATTTTTTAAAATTTCCGAGGCGCGTATATCAGATTTATATATGACATCGGCCGAATTTACCTTTGTTTCATCACCGGTTTTCACTAAATGTATTAATTTAGTTAGCAACTCCATTTCGATTGTGTCCTCTACGTGACCGAGCAACTGCATTATATGTTTAAAAGATTCGTGTTGTTGCGAATAAAAGAGTTCGAAAACGGTTATATAATCATTCGATTTTGCTCCTATTGTAATGCGTATATTCTGAAGTTGACGACGAGATTTAATGTTTGCTATAGCGTGTAAGAGAAGCTTCATAGAAGCAATTTGATTCTTGTATTTCTCCTCCACAGCTAAACCAATAGATCTGAGTGTTAAATTGCGCCTATGTACATAGGCCGATACGTCCACCGATTTTGTTTCAGCAGCTAGTTTTGATGCTTTAATAATTTCTTGAAAAATATCTTTTATGTCACCGTTAAAAAACTCGACCGCCTCGTGTGTTCCAAATCGTAGTAGTATTTCCATGACAATCCATGCTGTGTGTTTTAACAAATTATTTTTCTTGTGAACTTTCTTCGCCCAATATTTGGGCACGATATTTTCGTATTCTAAATCTTTCATGTGATATTGTAAAACGTGCATGTGGTCTGGTACACCTTTCGAAAAATAGTTTGAATCATTCGACAGAACGTGACCCGTTAATGTTTGCGCAAAATCACTCTCGTATTTCTTAATATCGATTTGGGAAATGTTAAAATCCAAAACCAATCCGTCAACTTTGGACCACGATTGAGCCAATTCTACAAAGAATTCTTCTGTCATATATTTTTCCAAATGACGACAACGATGCATAATTTCGATCAACGTTCGCTCCTTTATGGGTACCGACACCATTATTTCCGAGAATATCCACACGTTAATTTTACCCCTTCGCCAAAGATTAATACACGTTTGCCGTTGGTGAAATCTCGTTAAATAGTTTACTATAGCCAAAGTATCCATGATCTTAGTAACATATTTCGATTGTTGGTCATTCAAACCGATCCCAAAGCGTAAGGCAATGACAGTGAATGGTTCGAATACATTCGTACCCTCGTGTTGCTTTTCACAAACCGAAAAGGATTCGTCCGTAAGCGCATTTAATGCATTTTGGTATTCTGGATATAGCTGTAAATATTCACGAACCTTTAAAAGTAGTGAAGGTGATCTCAGCCAAATGAATACTATGATAAATATTAATTGTTTTAACTCCGAGTTTGCCTGATGTGCTGCAAGACATTGTAAATATTCTACTTTGATGTGTTTTCGATTCGCTTCCAAAGACAAAACGAGACTTTCGAGCGTGATCATTGTTTTTTATTTCAATTCTTTATCCTTAAAAAATGTCGGTAATTCTTGAACTACACCATTCTTGCGAGCGTTGCCAGCCGTACGTCCATTTTCCATGACCTTGATCCAATTGCACATGTCCTTCCAAGTGTCGCATTGAAGAAAGCGTTGATCGACGAGCAGCATGGCCCCCCAATCTTTCGAATGTCGGATGCATCGTCCGACGGCTTGATTCACAGCCCTCATAGCTTGGATGCGATACCATTCACGACCGTTGAGAACTTGAGCTTTTGTAGTGTCGTTGAATTCCATTTTGAGACGGACGTCGTCTTGCACGATAGATGGAAAGGGGATTCCGATGGATACCACAACGCGTGCCAAATTATCGGCAAAGTCCATGCCTTCACTAATTCTTCCGCGATGCACTGCACACAATATAGACACTTCACCACAGGCCACGGATTCCACGTGTGAATGGACGGTCTCGTCGTTGCTTTCGAAATAGATGCATCCATTTGTAGTAGCCATGAGAGACGTCCACACGTCTGGATTTATATTCTTCCACACTTGTGCACACTTTAACATGGATTGGTAGGATGGGAAAAAACACAACACACCACAACCACCCAATCTACACTGTTCGTTCACTTTGATAGATTCGCATATTTTTAACAATAGCTGCCCAACGGCAGATAATACCGTTTTGTCGTTGTATGCACCGTATGTCATTCTAAAGGGTATTTTACCGTCAATAGAATGTGAAATACGTCTTATGTAAACATTTTCGGGATGTACCACATGATTTCCCGTGATTTTGTGCTTAAAGTTCATTCCCAATTCGGCTTCGTACGAATTAAATGGTGACAGCGTCCCAGACGCAAGAACTATAGTCCGCGCTACTTCCACTACCGATTTCATAGCGTGTTGTGGGTCGAGACATATTATTCTAAACAAATCAGCCTCGACGACTAAGCGAAAACAATCCGCGTTGAAATTGTTTAAATTTGACACGTGTTGCTGAAAGTTTTCGATAAACTGATTTAGGATGGGATCGTGTGGAAATTGAGGTATGTTAGCTAAGCTGACCTGTTTCGTTAACGTAGATAAATACGCAGTTCCTGTTATTATATAATATTTATTTTTACAAGCTATTTCTTTGAATTTTTCATACATTGTAATTAATTTGTTAAAAAAATTATACATATAACTGTTTTTAGACACTTGCATTTTATACGATTGCAAAGATGTTATAGATATTTCAAAAGATAGACTGTCTCTACAAACACTTTCGATATTATGAGCTTCGTCTATTATAATTAAAGAATCGCGCAAATTAACTTTACGTATCGATGCATCCAAAATGTAATTATATGGAGAAAGAATGATATTTGCGTCCTTTACAAAACTGTTATTAGTATAGTAAGGGCATATTTGTAATTCGGAACACTTCGTTACCAAATCTTCTACGTCGAGAATTGGATCGCTTTGTACCGGTGGTTGTGTTTTTCCCAAGTTTTTAAAATAACAACAATGTGTACTTTTGATCCATTTACAGACTTTGGCCATGTTACCCCCAGCTGGTGTACTATTGTAAAGGCATAACTTCTCTTTACCAACAAGTCGCACCGTATGTATGTTAGGGTCAACCTCTCTAATGGTATTGGTGATTTGTTCGAGTTGTTGATGAGTTCTCGAACAATAATAAACCTTCGAAGTCGGATGTAAAGTGATCCATTGACTGGCTGCATTAATGAGTGCCAAAGACTTTCCAGATCCAGTTGGCGACTCGATCATTACATGTTCGCCTTTACTTGCCGCCTCCAATATAGTTTGAACTATTTGCGTCTGTATCGGGTAAGGCTGCTTCTTCGTCGGGCGGAACATGTTTTCTGACTACAAGCGTGGTGGTCCGTTCGTTTATAAAACGATTGTATCTGCTAGTATTTTCCCTTTTATTCTCTACCATATCGTCTCCCTCGTTCCACTCGTCAAGAATCAGGCACTCGACTACGATGTTGTGGTAGTGGTGGTGATGATGATGATGGTGGTGGTTGCGGTGTTTTCTATGTTTTCGGTATTTATCTTTACCCATAGTTTTTTTATCTCGTTATTTTTTTAGCGTAGTCAAGATAATTCACGCACGAGAAAGTTTTTTTGATTCAAACCACTCTAAATAATCACACACGTTATAGTAAACATTTTTACTGTATATTATATGTAAAAACTTTTCGTGAATCTTTGGGTTTGGTATTGTATAAGGCTGAACGACGTCCGTTAAAACACACAATGGATGCATCGACAACATTAAACTCAATTTGCGTACACATGCAATAAAAAAAGTAATTGAACTAGTAGTACTGACATTTAAAATGTTCATCGTTTCGCAATATATTATGCTATCCATATCTGAAGAATGTGCCAACCAAATCGGCATATATGTAGGTATAACAGATAACAGAGCACTTTCGTCGTGTTCGTATATTCGGTAGTCTATGTACTTGCATAGAGTCTCGAAATACCATGATTGGTTTTTGACGAGATGAATAAAATAATTCATGACTCTACGATATTTGCCGTCTGTTATGAAATGAAACACGCCAACCACAGTGTTTAAACATAGATGACTTCCAACCGTTTTCACAACAGATATTTGAATTTGTTCCAGGAGGTAGAGGAACTTCACAAACTCACGTGGAGAAACTTGGTTGGTATTGGAAGCACGTTTCATTATGGCAATGAGCCGGTGGGAGAGTGGCATGACGTTGTTGTTATAACAAAATATGTTGCACCACATATTCCTGAAGACGGCTTTGTTAAGTAAAGACGGTCACGACTGGTTACGCAAACAATGTAACCGGACAATATACTCTGCGGCACACCTTCTTAATCTTCTCGACGACGAAAAATTTGTACCGTTAAACTGTTCGGAGGAGGGATTATATACACGTTATAAAAATGCAGACAATTCTTTGACGCACAAAGACGTAATGGCCATTGACGAATTGTTTAATAACGGGAAGCTGCTTCTAGGAACTGCGTGGTTCGATAATAAATACAGCCCTTCTCGCCACACGTCAAAGGAAACCTCCGTCGACGATTGGTTGGACGCTGCTTACGACACAATGAACAGAGGAGCAAGCAACGAATCATTTTTGAAAGATTATATAAACCATGCTATGCAAGAGCCTACCAGTAAAGAAGACTTGTTTGATAATAACGTGGATGATGCAAAATCTTTCGGACAAATCGTGAAAGACGTTTTGTCTAATTTATGGGAAGAACCACCTCATTCTCCACATACTACGATTAGTAATTGAATCAATAAAAAAAACCTATATCTAGATACAATTCATAAAAAACACATATAGAGAATAATTTATTAAAAAAAATGCCACCACGAACACCTGCGCAAAAACGAACTGCACTGCGACGTGCACGTGAGCTCGACCAAACCACTAGAGGTGTTTATTTTTGTAAAAACGAAATTAAACGTCTAAGTCTTCGAAGTAGCATTACTCGAATATCAAAATCCTTAAACGAGAGTGTACATGACGTTATTAGAATGTATTTATATACTACGTTATACCGAGCTAAAGCTTTTGCTAAATATCATGATCGTAAAACGATGCGTAAAACCGATTTGGCACAAGCATTTATTATAGAAAACAGCGGTGTATTTGGTTACGTATAATATTTCAATATTCTCCTTCTTCAAGTATTCCTACTACTTCGTACACCACAAGAACGTTATGAAAAAAAAAAAAACACATTAAGATCGATGTAGAATGGAAAAATAAAAAATTTTAATTTTCAATATCGTGTAGCATGTCATTCATTTTTTATATATCCTATTCTCTCCAGTGGCGCAATGGGTTAGCGCGCGGTACTTATAAGTCAGTACTTGTGAGCTATGCCGAGGTTGTGAGTTCGAATCTCACCTGGGGAAGAGAAAAAGCAACTTAACATTTCGGTGATGCTGCAGAAATGTTGAGTTGCTTTTTCAAACTTTTATCCTACTCAACAGAGCCAAAGCTTCACATAAAGTCTCTGCTGAGGGATGGAAAGTATGACAATGTTGTTATTTTTTCATAAATATTTATTGAAATCACACTTATATCTTCATGTTTTTACATGGTGGAATGTCTTTACAAAATTCAATTTCACATTTTTTTTCTTCGTCTTCGATGTCGTTTTCGTTTTCGTTGTCGTCCACGTCGTTTTCATCATCACTCTTGACTCGATTATAATACGATGTATTGTCATTAGCATCGTCCGCATTGTCACAATAAGTATCACTATAGACGCTATCGTCAATTAATGTATTGTTCATCCTATCAAGGGTCAAAATTAAACTCAGAGTCTGTATGTATACCTTGAAATAATTCTTCCGCTAATCGTCGTTTACATAAGTTATTAATAGATACCCTGTTTATAATCGATGTACCAGGTTCTTTAGGACATGGTGTACCTGTAATGAAAGGAAAAATAAATATGAAAAATTATATATAGAAAGGGAAGAACTAAACAAAATAACGTACGTAAATCAATCTCGTCCAAATTGATTCCACCTTGCATACAGGAGCCGACATCTTCGTTGCAAGGTAATTCGCACTCGGCAATGGATTCTGTAATGTAGATAAATAAATAAAACAATCATAAAACTATGTTATGCAATAAATTATTGACATACGTTTCAGAACATCGTCAAGATTGAGTGGTGGTTGCCAGGACACCTCGTCCACCAAAGGGGGTGCTGATCGGTCGTCGATATCTCCATTATCATAGAGTTCAACGTTGTCACAAGCGCCTGCTTCAGAGTAGCGCTTATGTTTGTCACACATTTCTTCTTCCCCATTAGTCATGAATTGTATATCACACTCTTTATCGTATTGGCAATCTTGAATAACTATGCCATCGTTACCAATAAGCGCTCTTTCGCTTCCATGATATTGGGACTCTTCCTGGCATATCGGTTGTCCGTCATAGCTTTTTACAACTTGTGTTATGCACTCTTCTTCGTTGTCTTTGCGAACTTGGGTAATCACAGCCTGATATTCCTTGCCATCTTCTACTGCGTTGTCAACACCATGTTCGGTCGGCTTATCGAGCCCTTCTTTTTCCTCTTCGGAACCCCCTACCCCCAGCATTGGTTCTTCTGTAAAATGAAAGCGATATTTGTTCAATTTTGATTATATCACGAAATAATAATTACTAATCAAAGAATAAAAAAAATACACTTACCATTCGAAGCGTTGTCGATTCTCGATGTCCATGCCATGTCTTCGTCACATCCTCCCCAGGGATCCGAAGATGCTGTCAATTGGTTAATGCGATCTCGCACATCTTGAAAAACCTGATCCTCTAGATCGTCCGTTGACACTTGTATTGCAGCAGAAGTTTGAGGTGTTCCCTTCTCATTGCTTTTAACAGCAGCAGCAGCAGCGGCGACACAATTGTTGCTTGATGGCATTATTCTCGTGAATATACGGATTGAATTAAGTACTTCACTAAGACATTGTTTAGACCACATATGTAGACGAGTGTCCGTAATGTCTTCAACGTTTGTATTAGTATAAATACTCATAAGAGTACTCATTGTATCAATGAAGGTTTGTGGGTGCAAGAACCTATTGGCAAAGGCTTCGTCTTGACCAGATTCCCAAAAATTCGTAAGATGAAATATGAAACTTTTTTTATTTCCTCTATTAGAGGTTTTTGGATTTGTAATAGTATGCCTTGCAACGTGAGCGAACCCCACAGCAGTGCGTTTGCCTTCTTGTGCATGTTTCATATTCTCATTGACAGTGCCAAAGTTTGAATCGACGATAGACTTTATGTTGTGCCTCACCATAAATAAGGAAGCTGGAGTATTCAGCTTCATGTTAAAGGGATTTAGTATAGGTCGCATCCTCAAATAGAATTCCGCCAATACTTGTACATTTGTGCATTCGATAATAAAGGTACAATCCATAGGATCACTGTATCGAATTACACTATAAATGACGTAAAAGAAAAAAGAAGCTTCGAGTAAAGAAGTGTCCAGTTGATTACCCTCATTTTTACAGGAAAAAAAAATATTAGTCAAAAATTCCTTTAGAAAGTCCCAAGGAACTTGCGCATTCACACTCCGCACACCGGTTGCGTACACGTGTGGTTGTTCCCAAATGGCTGGATATGCACACATACTTTCGACAATGCTGCTCATGGAATCCAAATCCTTTTTCTGACTGATGACGAATTTTGAAAACACGTTCCATAAATCGTCGTCGGTTGTAAACACGGGAAGGGTACAAAGCGTCTTGATGCTTTCTACGATTTGATTCACCATAACGTCCTGTTGATCAGATGGAGTTTCGTGTAAGAAGTCCTTGATGTTGTTTCGGACCTCCTGCGACGTTAATGCTGGTATCATAAAATATTCGAGCATAGCACTGTTCCCAATAGTGGGTCGGTGAGTCTTGGTGGCTACATATTTGTACGGATAATAATACGGTAATGTATATCCATTGAATAGATTAAAACCAATATTGCATACTGGTTTCATAACTGTAATACTCTCTAATATGATAGGTTGCAAAACATTAGGTTGAATTGAAATATTCTTCCCAGAGCGGTAGTAAAATAATTTGCTTCTATCCATATCTTTTCTTAGTGGCAACAATATCTTCGAGTCTAACTTCTCGATGGTTTTCTTGAGCACTACCATCAAACTTTTAGCAACGGATCTTTCTTGAAGATCCCTAATTAACTTAACATCCATGTATGGTAGATACATGGACGTATCTATTGCTGGTATAAAATCCTGAGTCGAATAAAAGACTGTTAAATGAATTAAATCTTTTATAATGTTGTTAGGCATCACTATTTTAAAAGTTAGCATATCCCAATCCGATGGGAGTTCTTCGAAGATTGGCAATACGTTTCCATACTGCTTAGCACATCTCGTCAAACTTCTTTTCTTGAGAAATAATGAATTAACCTTTTCTTCATTCAAATCAATTGACGAACTTATATTCCCTCTTCGACGACGTTTACTTTTAGTTTGAAGTTGCATAGACGGTGAATCTGAAAACGACGGTACGAGTACGGCTATAGGCTCGGAAGAAGAAGAAGTAGTCCGTGCGCCGAACGAACTGCCACTCTTACGCTTACGATCCTTTTTAGGGAAGTTCATCTCGTAGACTGATACTCGTAGTTACATGTACGGGCTATATATAGGCAAATATGCGTAGCGTCTCGTGTTATTATACGAAAAAAAAAAATAACAGCCACAATATAAACAAATGCTTTTGGAATTGTTTTTCTTAACGTACCCCATCCAATCAGAGAGCATGGTACACTCTCATCCAATATCTTTTTTCTTTCATTCTACCAACACCCAGACGTACACATAAACAAAAAACTTCGTATAGACAACATATACACACCCCCACTCTCTCTCTCTCTTTTTTTTGGGGGGGGTCTTTTTTATATACCACTTCACACACTCTTTACAATAACAATAACGCAAAGAAAAGTCTATATATATATATATATATATATATATTGTATAGAAATGTGAAGGAATACGAAAGAAAATACGTTTTTTAAGAGCAATACCCTCCACAAGATATTTTTTGTGTTTTTTTTTTGATTATTGAAACACTTTATTTCAAAATGTACAATTGATCTTGTCAAAGACTTAGCGCTAACTTGTGAAGTACGTCTATACCGGGCCTTTCGTTTATTTTTTTCCTCATGAGTGTCGTTAACAAAGAAATAACATTTGAAGAATATAACAGTTTTTCTGTTTCAAAAGGGTCAATGGTTTCTAAAGTTTCGAATTTCTTAATGTCTTTCGTTGTCTTGAAAGGGCTTTTTCTGAACAATAGCTTCCAGAGTATAACGCCTAGAGTCCATACGACGGTGCTCTCGGGGTAATATATACCATTTATATACCATTCTGGTGGCGCATAAAGTGGTGTTCCTGCGTATGTTCTCCTAAGACGTTTTGAACACTCTACTGCAAAATCGAAATCTAAAATGGTAATTTCCATTGTTTCTTTATTGATGAGTATATTTGCTTCTTTTAAATCACAGTGAATAATTCCACATTTGAACCAACAGTCGTAAGTTATTTGTGCGAGACGTTTAAATATATTAATAATTTCTTTTTCGTTGAGAACATGCGTCTTCATATATGAATAAAGTGAGATACTTTTAATCGATCTCTCCATAACCAATACATAACCGTGTTCAATTTTGAACCAATCGTACAACTTAATAGTACCATCAACTTTATTCACTCTTTTCAACATGTGTATTTCCATTGGTATTTTCGATTGAAACGGTTGTTTCACAGTATGCCACCTCCAAACATCTTTGTGATAAATATATTTAACAGCTATAGGAGCGTTATCGTTTAAGCGTACTCCCGCGTATACGATACCAAAACCACCTTCTCCCAATTTACTCGTAATAGAGACGTCGTATCCACGGTGTAGCAGAGCATATTCAAAGGCGGTAGACATTTAGTGGTTTTTATTGCTGTCTAAACAAATCATATGCACGAGCTATATTTTTTGAAACGAATAAATCTTGTAAATGAGTTTTTTCAACTACGTTTTTATCTATTCTACGTTCTAAAGTGACATTTTGAAATTGAGCATTATTTAAAAGCGTGTTGACGTCCCCACTATTACTCATAGAATATATTATTCTAATTTGATGATGAATTCCAATTACGTTGGGAAGTAAAGACATATCTTTTCCCACAAAATAAACATTACATGTACTTGATAATCAGTTTATTTTTTTCTACATAATATAGTTCTATACATAAATATTCGCATATTTTTTTTAAACCGTAGTCGTTGTAATACCGCCGTCGTCTTCTATGGCATCATAGAAGTCTTCGCCATCTAAACTCTCGTAGATGTGATGAACAGTACCAGTAAGATTCGCACCCAACCAGTTTATAACATCGACGATGACTTGAACGTCGTCTGGATCAATTTTTTCACGTGATTCGAAAATCAAAGGAGCGTCAACGTGTTTTTCAACTGAATTAATAAATGGTATGTATTGCATAGTAAGGTCTTTCGATATATCAATGGTGGGGACAATGCCAGTGCGAAATACGTTCGCGATATTCTTTAGCATACTCGTCATTTCTTCGCTCAAATGATAAGGCATATTGTACTTTGGTACGAAAGTGGTAAATAACTTGGTATTCATTTTAAGTATATATTTTTATAATGTTTATTTCATTATACACATACATATGTTCGAATGAAAGAAATAAAATGTTAAAAAGTGTGTACAACACCACCATGGATATAACGTATGAATATTTAGGTCGCGGTGCACATTCTAAAGTATTCAGAGTTTGGCTTTCCAAGGAAAGGAGCATAATCCTTAAAATAAGTAAATGGAAAACTGGACTTCAGGCTGAATACGTTATTTTAAAGACTCTATCTCAACGATCTATAAGAGGAATTCCAATGTGTCTAAAGCAATGGTCGAATAAAACATTCGGTTTTTTAGCGTTTTTCGATACGGGAAGCACGTCTTTACGAGATCTGTTATACTCTCATAAACTTTTAAATATTCGAGATATATTTCGTCAAGTCTTCAACGTACTTTATGAAACTGTAAAGAAATGTAAAGTGTACCATTGCAATATTAAATCTGGAAATATCGTAATAGATAAGGATATGAAGTGTACAGTTATAGATTGGAGTGACGTGCATCTCGTGAATAAACGCGTTCGGACTTTCAAAAGCACATTACCGTACTCGTCACCAGAAGCAATTGCATTTTATCGCGGAGAAAGGAAGTCGTACAATGCAGAACTCTTAATGTCGTGGAGTTTAGGCGTCTTATTATATGAAATGTATTTTTTACATCTACCGTTTGAAAATTTTGAAGAATCGGATTTCGTGGCTGCTGGTATCGGATGTCCCGAAGCGATCATGCGTTTAGAAAAATACACCATGTCGTTGTTATACGATGCTCCAGGAGACATTGCCAGTCTCATTTGGGATTGTTTAAATCCAAATTACAAATATAGATGTAGATTGCGAACGATTAAAGAATACATTGAAATTTCTCGGTTTTAATAATCATGTTTTATTGTTTCCTTTAATTAAAGAGTTAACATAATAATGCAAACTTTTCGTATGAGTTAAACGCACTAGACCGCCGTCGGAATCTACAAAATAATCCACATCGTTCGCGTGTATTTGCATACCACTATCGAAAGTTACACATTTGGCCGTTATATCATCGGTTGAGTTAATGTAATACGGTATTCCAAACCTCGTGAAAAATTGACTGGATACATAATCCGCCGCACCACCTACATTACACACCGGCGGATACACAAATTCGTCGTGGTCCACATCAACTACAGAAAATGTTTCTTTAATTGCAAGTCCGTCGAGAGTAAATTGAACGGAACGACGCCAATAACCACCTTCACCAGTACACACAATAGATCTTACCATATTTTCTATGGAATTACAGGACATTATGAATTGTTGTACCGGTCGCAAACCGTCCCAAAGATTATCGTATAACCAAGCACACGAAACGTCTCCACCGATGTTACTATCATCCCCCCCAAAAACACACACACCCACATCTCTGCACATTTTAGCAAAATTTCGAGAATAAAAATTAACCACAGACGGTCCAATACAACCTATGGCTTGTAATACGTGTACGGGTGTCGCTTTAGCTCCGGAATTCACCATCACGGATAAGGTATCTCTTTCGTCTAGAATGTCCATAACTGTGCTCGTAACTTTCTGCCAATAATCAACCATCGATTTCGTTTCCTCAAAATGTTCCGGAACTTTACCAAACTTCTTTTTAAACAATTCAGAACAACGAGAAATTTCCTTTGCGGATATGTCAAAACCGTATTGCGTCATAAAGTCGTCACAAAATCGAGTAATTCTACTTCTATTACTTAATAATCGTTCTTCGTCTCCTTTGCATGCTCTTATTGCAAAAAGATCAAATAGTGTGGTATTTTTTTTCGTCCAAGGCCAAGATCCAAATGCTTCCACGACCAAATCGCTGGTCCATTGAAATTCGGAAGGATTACCCCCAAACACCCACATATACGTTAAGAATAAAAAAAAATCTTTATACGTCTTTATGTTCTGTATTTCTCTCAA